AAAGAAAGGGCTCAGGATAGCTCAGCACCTTGAAGAGACAAAGCTTTTCCTAAAGAGTAGGTGGTTGACCTCATTCATACTAAGAGCTTCGGTCTGTCCATCAGAAATAGAAAGGCAATAGTTGAGTGCATTGAAACATTCATTTTTTGGAAGGTACCAACTTCCAAAAAAATAATGAACCCAATAATTCATGGAGAGGAGTTGCTATTGCTTAGAAAGTGGTCAGGACAGTGTTTTAGGTGATGGAAGCCAAGACCCAAGGTCAAAATGAGGCTCAATGCATAGACTACCAGAGAAACATAACATAACAAACATTCCATGATTGTTATGGGCTTCCCATTAGGAAAGTGTAAGAGCAGCACAAGAGGCATGGGACATGGGGGACCAACCATAGCCCTGAGGTGTCTGGGGAATGACCCCTTGTTCTTAGAAATGTTTGGCAGCATTATTTTTAGACAGAGTATCAATATGTAGCCCAGGCTGGCCTTAAACTCCTAATCCTCCAGCTCTGTCTCCAAGGTGCTGGGATATAGGCATGTACCACCATGCTGACTTAACTCTATTATTATTATTATTATTATTATTATTATTATTATTAATTTGCAGTGCCAGAAATCAAAGCCAGGACTCTGTGAACCCTTCTGAGCTGCTTCCTGACTTTCATGGATATGTGGCTGAAGAAATGCATGTACCAAGAGGCAGTGGTGGCTTTGGTATAATGAAGAGAACTGGACCCTGGCCACAGGGCGAGAGAATGGTGTATAGTTCCAAGCATGTCCTTCAGGGGAGCTTCAGCCAGGACATTTGTGAACAGTGGTTATTATACACTCATTTGACTTCATAGTGCTGATTGACAAGCTAAGAGTTGAAAGCAAGGATTGCGTGGGGGCTTCAAGATGTTTAGGAGTCTATAAAACAAGCCTACAGTCTTAGAGGGAGGGGTCAAATGCCTGGGAGAGCGGAGGGACTTTGGAATTATGGAGTTTTCTGGGTCATGACCTGTGTGGTAGTTATGTAAATCTATTAACATCACGAAGAGCCATCCATATGGACAAAAAGAGGTTTGAGCCAACCAGCTTTTTGTCACTATAACAAATACCTCAGAGGATCCACTTACAAGGGGGAAAGGCTTGTTTAGTCTCACAGTTTCAGAGACTTTAGTCTATGGCTAGCTTGTTCTTGAGCCAAGGTATCATAGAATGACAAACTCATATGGTGGAAGAAAACCTTCTACCTCATGGCCAAGAATGTAAAGGTAGGACCAAGCTCATACCTTCCCCTTAGAGGCCATGTTCCTCCTCAAGCCCCATTCTCATGGGTCCCATCACTTCCAACATTGCCACCCAAGGACCAAGCTGCAACATGTGGCCTGTGGGGGACACTCTGGGTGCAAACTATAGCAACAGGCATTTTGACACAGCACTGCAGAGTATGGACACAGGGGAGGCTGAAATCAGATGGGCTGTAGTCAGGACGCTTCGGGAAAGAATTATGGGTACCCAGTACTCTAAGAACTCACTGTGCCACAACTCAGAAATGGTACTTGGAAGAAAAACCAAATAACATTTTAATTTTAAAACTACATAAGAATTAAAAGTCATTTAAGCTATTTGAAAAATCCATGAAAGGGAAATTGTTAAGATTTACAGTGTTAAGAAAATCAGGTATAGGTATTGGGACGTAGAAGGGAAGCAGGAAGGATGGAAGAATAGTGTCCTTCACACTCAACAGTGAAATAAGGGACAAAGAAGAATCACTGTGCCTCTCCAGTCTGGAGTTGGAAACACCTGTCTTCTCAATGGAGTAGGCATTGTGTTTATAGTAAAAAGTGCTACTGAGAACATGAACTAGCAATCTGCTTCCAAGTGCTGGCAGAGAGCCACGAGGTGGGCAGGCTGTTTGAATGCAAACCTGACAGTGTGTGGAGGCAGTTCTACAGGACACTCAGCAGGACCCTGTCCTGTCTGCCCCAGATCACCTCCTCAGCTCAGGTGCTGAGGGAGACTTCCACCTTTTCTGGACATTGAGATTTGAGTGACGATATTTTCTGCAGGTTTTAATCTTTTTTTTTTTTTAATGATTTTCAAATGTAATTCTAATAAAAGCAAAAGGCTCACTCAGCCACCCCACCCTCTCATTGGCAGCCCTGAACTGCCCCAGATTCTGGGAGGGAACTTGCCTGTCTGGAAGGCCCTGTGTGGCCAGTGGACATGCTGAGAAAAGAGTCAAAAACTGGTTAGGTTATTTGGGGCTGGATATACAGGTCTCCAACTACATTGGAAAGAGACCCACACATCTCCCAAATTCACCAGCCTTAGGCATCAGCTCAAGACTCCGGCATACTGTATGTGTGGTCAATCTGCCTAGAACTCATAAGCTGTATAGCCTGGGAAAGAAACAGCACTGTGCAAAAAAGAGAGACTTAGGTGGGGCTTCAAGGAGGTGAGGACTAAGAACAGGCTACTGAGCTGACTGAGAGCCGGGCAGGTAGCTCCTTGCTGACCACCTGTAGGCTGGTGGTCTCTGCAGATAGTGACACTGGAGCATTCTGAGCAGGAAGCAATATCTGGGCAATACAAATGCTGTTCTGGCCTGCTCTACACCTGAGGAGCTGAGGTCATGGAGGCCACTTCTGGACTGTGCAAAAAAGCAGGGGTACCATGAGACCCTTAATAGTGGCATTACAGAGGGAAGCATCTGCCTGAGTCACTCCATGCCCAGCCACAAGGCCAGATCCCCAGACTTAAAAAGGCCTGTCTCTGACCCCAGACAGCTGCCCCTGCCCTCATTTGCCATCCAGGTTGTGTATGTGTGGGCACCTGGAGGCACCTTCAGTGAATAAGGCACATGCAGGACCGAGGAAGTTCTCGGGAAACATAGGTGGCAATGATAGGGTCCCCACAGGGCTCACAGAAAAATCCCCACCTGGACTCCAGCCCTGGCACAGAGCCTGTCCTGTCCCCTCAGCCTTGTAGCCAGAGTCATTTCCGCCATTTTCTCAGGAAATGACCGGCATTAGACAGCTTGTGGGCAAATCACCCACAGGATGTAAGGCTTCTGCACTGATCACGTAGGCTGTTGCCCAGGTAACCTGGGTCCACATCCCGGTTCCTCTAACTCATTTCTTTTGTAGAAGCGTCTAGAGGAGTTCTTGAGAGGAGGAAGAAAGTCTGGTCTGTTTGGAGAGGCTTGAATGGACAGAGTTCTTCCTGCTACTCCCATAGGCCTCATACCGCATATCCAGAGCTGGCCTGGGTCCTCACTTCAGGCTACTTGCTGGTCTTCTGGGCCAGGATACATCTCCTTCCCTGTCCCCAGATCCCACCACCTGGCCTGGGTATCCCTGGGTGTCTCTGCATTGCTGTTTCTATCTCTCTCTATTTCTCTCTCTATTTCTCTGTCTCTGTCTCTGTATTTCAGTCTCTTTCTTTATTTCTGCCTCTTTCTCTAGCTCCATTTTTCTGCGTCTCCGCCTCCATCTCTTTCTTCACCCTCTCCTTGTGTAGGCAGGATATTCCAAATGTAAACTTTGTCTCCCCTCTGGTCTCCACCCTATCAGAGTTTTCCAATGTGTTTGGTCAAAGGTCGTGTTCCTGAACTTGCTCTGCCCTGAGTGATGCCCCTTTCCATCTCTGCTGTTCGGGGACTTCAGTGGGAGCCAGATAAAGCCAGGCTTTGGGGCTCTATCAACTAGTGGTGTTGAGCACTGATGAAATAAATAAGCGGAGACAGAATTTAAAAGTCCTATCATCATTTTTCTTAAAAGGAGAACAATGAAAATGAAGAAAGGCAACAGAAAATAAAAAGTGCTGTGAATTCTAGGAAGGTCATGGGTGGCAAGGACATGTTGTGGGGGAGGGTGGATCAGTAGAGTCCAGGAAGGGCCCTCCTGGAGAGCTGACCTTGAAGCTGGACCAAGGTAGGTGGGAGGGGCACTCGAGGAGGCCTGTAGGGGGCATAGGGTAGCATTATCCTTTGCCCTCAGGAAGCTCAGGATAGTTCCCAGGAGCGGGGGAGTCATGGGGTTGGCAGAGGAAGCAGAAGGGAGGTATTTAGAACAGAGGGCATGCCCCACCCAAATCCTACCCCACAAAGCTTGTGTGACATGGACCCTATCTCTGCTTCTGGCCTTAGTTTAGACATAGCCTCTGGGAACTTTTCTTTGGCTTGCTAGCCTCAAAGGCCAAGTAAGGCCCATTACCCTCAACCTTTCCTGGCACCTGGTGGTCATCCCTGATGTGATACTGGTTTCTCTATATCTCCCAGCTGGCCACTGTGCTGGGAACAAGGTCTCATCGCCATGGTTGCCTGGCATTAGCACAAGCAATCGCCTCATCCTCTAAGGGCTCCCTGGAAGAAGAGAGATCCTGCAGGGCTCTGGATGCTGGGCATAGCCACCGGTCCTCTGAGCAGCATTTAGAGCACAGAGCTGTGCCTGGAGGAACCCACACCATATTGTGGCATTTCATGTGAGCAGTAGTAACTAGGGAACAGGCCTTCAACCACTTTCAGAAAAAAAAAAAGATGGGGTGCTCAGTTTCCTATAGGTGGAACAGATTTCTGGAAGCTTCAATAGTCTGGGGAGAACCAACATCCTGTTGGTTGGCACGGGACAGCAACAGACACCATCTATTTGATCTATTTGTTGGTGGAGGTCCCTCCCTCTTTCCTGGAGAGTGGGTTTGGCACTGTCCCCCTCCACACCCAACCCTGGCCTATGTCTGGGTTTGTACAGGGGGAGGGGTGGCCAGACCTGCAGCAGGACCTCCTGTCAGTGTATGGAGGGGGTGGCTTAGCTGGTTGGGCTGGGTGCCTCCGCAGATAAGGCATTAACAGCTCTGCAGACGCACCCTGTGGATCTGCTGACGCCTCCTTTCGGTCCAGGAGCTTGGGGTGAGGTGCCAAAGGTTCTCTATAAAGAGCCTGGGCTCCTGGCCACCACCACTTGCCCTCTGGCTGCTGAACTGCCTGTGTGTGCCAGGCCCAACCCTGCGACCACCATGGTGAGGCTTGTACTGCCCAACCCTGGCCTAGAGGACCGGATTCCATCTCGGGATGAACTGGAGGTCATTGAGAAGGAAGAGGCCAGCTCCCGGCCCAAATGGGACAACAAGGCCCAGTACATGCTCACCTGTGTGGGCTTCTGTGTGGGGCTCGGCAACGTGTGGCGATTTCCCTACCTATGCCAGAGCCATGGAGGAGGTAGGAGTCGGGACCCAGGTTGGGGCTTGGGTGTGGTATGGGTTAAGGCTAAAGTCGGAGCCCAAGAGTAACAACATGGACCAAGGACACAGGACAGACATTTCCAGGATTCAGTACCCAAAAGGGTCACAGACAGGGTAGGAAGGGGTAGGGCAATGGTCTCAGGTTGTTAGTGAGAGAGATGTGCCCCTCCCTCACCATACAAATTGGGTGGTTTATGTGGGGCTGCCAAACAATCTCCCCCTGGAGATGAGGATGATATGGTTAGTTCCCTAAGTTGACATCCCTCCTGGAGGGTAGAACACTCACCCACTTTTCAGGAGGTACACCTGGAAGAGAAAAAGTTGGGATCCAAATGGTGACTCTCAGAGGACAGATGGCATGGATGGAGCCTATCTTGTTGGACCCCTGGCTGGTCCAGGACTGGCATGTAGTGAGCAAAGCTGCCGCACTCAGTGACCCACAAACTTCAGCATGTTTGGCAGCCTTTAAGAGAACCCTCTCTTCCCCAGTGAGGCTCCATGATTCTCCAGCTGCACCTCCCTTTCAGAGAAACCCAGACTCCGACTCTTGGTCCATTGAAGGTGGTCCCAGGAACACTTTCGGGTGGCTCAGGAGGGCACAACTAGGGCACAGAGATCATAGGCATAGCTGCCTCATAGGCTCCTACATCACAGAAACAACTTCTGCCAGTTGGTACTCCAGCTTTTCTTATCCCCAGCCCCACAAAGACTGCTGCACCCAGGAAACACACACACACACACACACACACACACACACACACACACATCATAAACAGCCTTGGGCTTTCAGGGAAGCTTCTGCTTCTGCCTCCTCACCTGGAGCCCAGGCTCTGCCATCCTAATGTAGCATTGTCAGCGGAGGTCTGGGCAGGCCTGGCTGCTGTAGAAACTGGCTCTGCTGGGTCTGGGGTGTGCCGCAGGTGGGGTTCCAGACATTCTGCTCTTAAGCGGGATTCTCTGACTCAGGAGCTTTCTTTACTTCCAGTTTGTGCAGACATACACTGGCATTGTGATGGGACGTTGTCACAGCAACACTGAAATGGCCACTGTGTTGCTGTGTAGATGTGTAGGTTGGCTGTCTGTTTATGACTCTGTCAGTACCTTTCACTCAGACCAGGCTCTACAGCAAATGAGAGAGCTGACAGTCTCAGGTTTTGCTATCCAGTCGACCCAAACAGAACTGGCCCAAGGCTTTCCAGCATCCTGTCCTTGGATCCCCTCTACTTTCCTGGGACTGGTTTTGGATGTAGAGACCCCCACAGCAAGCAGTTTCAGGGCAGAAAAACAGACCCTGGCCTTCCTCCAACATCCACCTAGGCAGGGCACCCTCAGGCTCCCCTGCATTCCCCTGCTGTGGAGGAGCTCTGCAGGGATGTGGAGGTGCCAAGAGGGTAGGAGACAAGATTCAGATTTGTTAGCTCCGTGCCTAGGAGAGAAGGGCTGGGCCGAGCCTGCCCCACGAGGAATTGTTCAGGGTTTCCACAAAAGAGTTGTGTCTAAGGTCCAGGCTTCAATGGGAATTTAATGGGGATTCCCAACACCTGAGATCATCTCTTCTCTGAGCTCACAACGCCCTGGGGACCTGGGGCTGTGGTGCTGCCCCTGTAGGTGTGTGGTGCAGTGGTCTGTGGATCAGCAGTACTGCAGACTTCTGTACCAACCCTGGGAAGACAGGAGGGAATGTGTTGTGAAGGCTCTGGCCATAGCCCTGGTCCCTTGGCCATAACCCAAGTCCCTTGGTCACACTGTTCTGACATTAGACTTCCTGAGAGGGCCCAGGCTTAAGTTTCAGAGAGACAGCCCAGGTCCAGTGGGAAGAATAAGTCTTGGTGGAGCCATGTATCTTTGGGTCACTCTGGCCCATGTTGCCCACATCACCCATAAACCAGACATTCACCCAGAAGGAAGGGAAGTCTGTGTTTGGGCCAGGTGGACTCAGAAGGGCTGGGCCCAGAGATGGTCCTCCTGACCTGAGGGTTGACTTCTTGTTCTTATGATTTCTCACAAACAGTACCATTACAGAGTGGATTTTTTTTTTTTCTGACTTGAAACTCTGGACACTGGCAGAGAAACCCGCATGTGTGGCTAGCATCATCTAGCCCTCCAGAGGAAACCTAAATAGACTTAGATGACTGAGGGTCCCCCATGGGCTCTTGGTGGGGGACAGGAGACCATGGCAGGTTATTAGTAGACAAGGGGACAATGGAGCTGGGTGGTGTCCCTGGGGATCCAATACTCTTAGGCTGTAACCCTGATGTCCCACTTCCTGATAGTTCTCAGGTTTGTCAGCTACACAGACTTCAAGTGTGGCATGGACCACTGAAGCTGAGCAGACATGAGAAGCAGGAGGCAGCCCTGGGTCCTCTGCAGCTTTACTCTTGGGAACTCAGACTGTCCACCAAAAATCACACAGGCCAATCACTGACTCCTATAGTGAATCCAGCTGAGATGGGTTTGCTCTGGGTCCCTTTCCTGAGGACTGTTTTATTCAAAGGCAGTGTAGACACACAGCAGTTCAGGATCAGCCTCCCAGATCATTGGTACTGCATCCTGGCCCTAGTGTTCTCATCGGTGAAATGGGAAGAACATGATGGGTGATACTAAGGCTGTCTCCAATGTTGAGCCTACTTGATGGGGGGCTGTACTTGGCAAACCCAAGGAGCTCATTGGGCCAGTTACATGCAGAAGAATGGGCTAGCCTTTGTCAGCTGGGCCCCCATACTACTTTTTTTGCACATGGAAGTTAGCATATCTACCCAGGATGCCCTGGACATGGTTGTCCATCTATGTCCTAGCCTTAGGCCACTGGGGAACCCGGCACTCTTGCTCTGTGTCCACGTTGGGTGCCATGGGTGCTGGCCCAGTTGCTGCCTTCCTGCCAAGGACCAAGTTGGCCCCTACAGAATGTACCCAACCTTTTTCATGTGTCCTCCAGTGATTACCCACAGTGAGCCCACAAGCTCCTGGTCTAGTCCTGGTAACCTGTGTATAACCATGTGCAAGTGTGTGCAGCACATGCCTCTGCTGGTAAAAGAAAACAGGGGAGACTCCACCTGCTGTACTTGCCTTCACCCTTGTAGCGCCTCCACTCCATCCCCTTCTCATCTCCCCTTATGCCTACTTCCCCATTCATGACTCAAAGGCAGAACTGGGTCTTCTTCAAGCTGCACACTCCATTTCCCTTTAGCCTCACTTTGCTATGAGCTCTACTGGTGATTCTCTCTATGTAAACAACAAATGCCAAGGACTCCGGGCAATGCAAAAGGCCTTATCTCTGGGGACCTTAGGACATCAGTCCTTGTTGCTCCATCCTGTAGTCCCAGCTTCCTCCTGGCCAATGCCTGTGCTGCCACACCCTATGGAGAGGTGGTACAGTAGCTCAGAGATGAAGACGCTATCCAGGGCTGGGACTCTGTTACCTTCTGCAGAAGCCCAGATCTGCAGCAAGCATGTTGCTCTGATCTGGGAACACCATCTGGGCCCCACCCCAGGAACTTCAAGACTGTCAGCATCTGACCCACCCCCACACGATTTGCTCCCCTGTGTGGGGCACAGGGAAAACAAGTGCTGGCCTGCCATCCTTGGTTCACTTACCAGGTCAACCCCAGGGACCCAAGGAGAACATCTTCCTCCATCCCTCTTTGCCTCTTCCTGTGTCTGTCCCTCTTGTCTCTGCCTCACCTGTCTCTCATCTCTGTCTCTGGTCCCCCATCTCTCATCTGTCTATCTTCCCTTTTTGTCTTTACTTGTCTTTCTATCTGTTCTAGTCTCTTTGTTTTTGTCCCTTCACATCTATCTCCTTCCCTCTGTCCATCTTGGCCCCTTCTGCCTCTTTCCTTAACTTTCTATTTCTGCGTCTCTTCTATCAGGTAGGATGATGGTGCCCTGGCCTGGCAGATACCAGGTTGCATCCTGAGTGGTGTTGGGATGTTGGGATGTCTTCAAGTTCTTTTGTGAAAGGCCCAGGGGCCTATGCCAGAGATACCTGGGCATGAAGGGCTATGGCATATATCAGACCATGGTGGGCTCACAGCTTTCTTCTCTGGACCATTCCCTAGGAACTGCCATGAGTCCTAGCAGGAAAGAATCCCAGGTCAGTATCTAGAGACTCTTACGTGTTGAAGGGAGTCCAGGCTGCTCTCAAACCTGTTTCTTAGGTCATGGCTTCAGCTTGAGCCTTTCTCTCACAGAGCCTCACTGGGACCTCCAATAGAAACAGTGACAATTCTCAGCCTCAATTCTATTCCTGTGTTTTTCTAAAAAGACAGAATGTAATGATGCCTGGAGTAAATGAATATGAAAATTCTCCTAAGTGTTGTGATTTCCCCAAAGCTCCTGACACTTCTTCCCAGTCCACAGCAGTCTGGTGACGGTTTTCCTACAAGATACGTGCAGAGATGAAACTGGGCCTTCATGGAAGCAGTGCTTTCTATAGGGTAGCACATGTCTGTCCTTATATTAAAGCAGTTCCTAAGTGCTTAGCTGTTTAGTCTGTCCATTCTCATGAGACATTTTCCTGGATAGGTCATCTTCTGTCTTGTTCTGCCCCAGCACTGGTCTACCACTGTTTCCAAATGTCCACACAGCAGCATACTTCAAAGGTTAATTCTTTTTTTTTCTGAGACAGAATTTTTCTATATTGCTTTGGAGGCTGTCCTGGAACTAGCTCTTGTAGACCAGGGTGGTCTCGAACTCACAGAGATCCTCCTGCCTCTGCCTCCCAAGTGCTGGGATTAAAGGTGTGTGCCACCACTGTCCGTCCAAAGGTTAATTCTTAACAGTTCAAAGTCTAAGGTCAGATGTGGTAGCTAAAGTGTTCCCTCAGGTGAGACAGAATTGTGGTGGGAAGATTGCCACTGTTGGTATAGAGAAGGCTTCATATGTTTTCTGCTCTCAGCTTTCCTGTGTGAGAAAAACATGTTTCTGAAAATGTACCTCTTGGCCATTTTTAAATGTCTTGTCTAGTGGCTTTAAGTGCATCTGTCTAAGTGTACACAATCACCACTCTGTATCCCTGGAACTCTCATCCTCTCCAACCGAAACTGTCCTCATTATTACCACCCCACATTGCTTCTCACCCCTGAAACTTCTGTTCTATGGTTTCTGTGGACATCTTGTCTACAGGGACCTGCATAGTAGACCAGTTGGACTTTTGGTGACTGGATTTTGCCTAGCTCAACAAAATTCTCCATCTTCCTCCCTGTGTTGAAATCCCACTGTATGGATGGGCCATGGTATGTTTATCCACTTAGCCACTGAATGATGCCTCTGTAAACACAGGCATCAAGCATCTCATTGAGGCTCTACTTTCAGTTCTCTTGGGTACCTAGAAATGGGATTGTTGGGTCACATGGTGGTTCTATGTCTAATTTTTTTTTTTCAGGAATGACCCTACTGCTTTCCATGGTGATTGCACTAATCTGCTTTCTCACCAACAGTATTGAGGGCTCTAGTCTCCACCTCTGCATGAGCTTATAATTTTCTTTTCTGCTTTTGTAGCTATCTTTATGGTGTAAGGTTGTGTCTCACATTTTCTGTATGCTCAGTGAGGTGAACATCTTCTCAAGTGTTACTAGAATCTGTGTGTCTTCTTTGGGTCGACAACTCTTGGGGGTCTGTGACCATCTTTAAGTTGGATTTTGTTTGAGTTTTGTCCTCTAAATATTCTGAGAAATTTAACACTTCACCAGACTTGTAGTTTGCATTTATTTTCTCTTATTCCAAAGGTTGTCTTTTCAACACTGTTAATGTGGTGGTTGTTTTCTCCTTTCTTTCTTTCTTTCTTTCTTTCTTTCTTTCTTTCTTTCTTTCTTTCTTTCTTTCTTTCTTTCTCTTTCTTTCTTTCTTTCTTTCTTTCTTTCTTTCTTTCTCCTCTCTCTCTCTCTCTCTCTCTCTCTCTCTCTCTCTTTCTTTCTTTCTTTTTGAGGCAGAGTCTCACAGTCCTGGCTGTTCTGGAACTCACTATGTAGACCAGGCTAACCTAGAACTCACAGAGATCCTCCTGGTAGGATTAAAGACATGTGCTATCATGCTCAAAATTTTTTTCTGTTTTTAGATTTACTCAGTTATTATTTGTGTATGACCATTTTGCCTGCACGTATGTATGTGTATCATGTGCAGGTCAGAAGAAAGGGTCATACTCCCTGTATCTGGAGTTGCCGATGGCTGTGAACCACTGTGTGGAAGCTAGAAACTGAAGAAACTTGTTGCAAGAGTAACAAGTGCTCAGCATCCTTGAGCCTTTTCTCTAGTCTCAGTATTGTTATTTGGTATACATTATTTAAACTTTTTTCATTAATGTAGTTCTTACAGAAATATAATTAACACACAGGACAACCACAGAAGATTCCTAAAGCATGGGAGAGGCACACTTCCTAATATTAGGGTTGGTAGGTCTATAGTACAAAGGGTTTGCACAGATGAGGGCAATGTGTCCAGTTATTTGAAACCACTATTGTACTTATTATGCTTTGAAGTAAAGAAAACTTACCAGTAAGCAGAGCTGCCCCAAGCTAAGGCATACTTGCTTCCTCCCCTAGTTGCCCACCATCACCAGTAAAGAGATCCCTTCTCAAGCTGCTGTCTGACAGCAGCTTTAGCATTTGTTGGCAGTGCAGTGACACAGGGTCCCCACAGCAGCTAACCTCACAAATTGTGACTCTGTCCCTCTGTTCCCAAGGTTCTGGTCAGTGAGGGGCCTGGGGCCAACTCATCCTCAGCCAGTAGGCCCCTATGTGGTTTTGTGTTACTGCCAGTGAGTATGGTGGCACCATGCCATGCTTTGTTTAATGACAACGTTCTTCAAACCATCAGGGAGTGCTAACACATGTGACAAGATGTTGGAGACCGTCTTCCTAAGGGATCCTTCTAGGCTATGAAGCTTGCTGTGGCTTCACTCACATGGCTTACTCCTGCATATCAGCTCTGTTCAAGTGCCACAGGGGTGTTGGTGGCATCTAATCATTAGAACAAATGTTTTTTAGTACTTGTTCCCAGGTGGTGCCCTGACCTGTAATGACATGTCCTGTTTCCTCCCATCCAGGAGCCTTCATGATCCCATTCCTCATCCTTCTGGTACTGGAGGGAATTCCCTTGCTGCACCTGGAGTTCGCCATTGGCCAGCGGCTACGCAAAGGCAGTGTGGGTGTGTGGAGCTCCATCCACCCGGCTCTGAAGGGTGTAGGTGTGTGTCAATGCTTCTGGCTGGCCTGAGGTTTATAAGGACAGTCTAGTTCCTCCTTATCTTTCACAATCAATTCCAGGTTCACATTCTACCAGAGATCCTCAGGAACCCTTCAGTAAAATCCCTGGGAATGTGGGTTGAAGTATCTAGGCTGGGCTACTCATGGTCATCAGGGAACAGACAGGCCAGCAGAGGTCGCCTGAGTCCCCACAGCCCAGGGCACAAGGAAGATGGAGTTGCTGGGTGAGAACAGTTAGCCTTACCTTCCTAGAGCAAAAGCCTCCAGGACCAGAAGGGGGAGCTGGCTGTCTTCTCTGTCCACTCCTACACACTCAGCGAAGACACCCAGTACTGCCCCCAGTCCAGATGTGGTCACTCATTTACAAACTGGCTTGGAGACTGCCTCACTAAAAGGACATGGCTCACTGAGAGCTCAAAATGCACCTAAATGGTGTGGGCTCTCCAGCCAGGAAGAGAAGGGCAGGGTCCATGGACAGAGAGTTCAGATGTGTTTATCCCAGAAGCCCAATGCTGGACAGTCCATAGCACACACAGTGTCGACTCCCTGCTGTCAAGCCCTTCCTGCCCTTGCCACCCCAACCCCCTGAGTTTCTAGCTCTTACACTTGCCCTCTTCCTTCTCTTTCTTTTCACACATATTTGGATTTTAGTTTCACAATAAAAAAAAATCACATTCCCAAACTGCTTACTGCTCAGCCTATTGTCCCAGATGCTGAGCCATTGGCCACTATGATCTCTGCTTGCCTTTTTCACTAGTTCTTGGCAGAGATTTTCCTGAGTCTACCCACTTTGGTTTGGGACTTGTCAAGTGGAACTCCCTGAGGCAGACTCACCCCCACTAAAATTGTCAAAAAGCTCTTTGCAAGGGCCCTGTGACCACTTGCCTGGATACATCTTTTGGGGCCCTAGGTGGAGCAGGTGAGAGTGCAGAGTGCTGGGACCTTGATCTCACTCTGGGAGAATCAGGTGATCATACAAGTGGTATCACATTTCTAGGTCTGGGCTATATCTGCCCTGCAGGCTGGGGAGCAGGCCCCTCCCAGTGTCCTACTGTCTCCCTGCAGTGGAACAACATGGATTGGTGTCCATGTACTCACCTGCTAGAGATACGTGTGCATCCTCCACAGTGATATCCCTCCCCACAGGCATTGCCTCCATGTTTGTGTCCTTCATGGTGGGCCTGTACTACAACACCATCATCGCCTGGGTCATGTGGTATTTCTTCAACTCCTTTCAAGAGCCTCTGCCGTGGAGTGAGTGTCCACTCAACGTGAACCAGACAGGTGAGCTCTTGGCCCCTAGACAGTGGAATGCGGTTGCCATCCCCCAGCCTCTGTCCATATGACATGTTATAGCTTGGGGGAGAGTGGAAGAAACGGTTGCTGGCACTTTCTTACACACACAATCAAATCTTGTGACCACATGACCTCTCATTTCACAAGAACTGGATGCTTAGAGACCAGGGTTAGCAAAATTCAGAGCATCTTTGATGCAAGAAAACATTTAAAAATTCATGTTGTAGGGGCCAGGGAAATGGTGTAGTCAGTTTAAAGTATTTACCATAAAAGTGTGAGAACCTGAGTTCAATCCCAAGCACCCACATAAAAAGTCAAGCATGTGGCCGGGTGTTGGTGGTGCACGCCTTTAATCCCAGCACTCAGAAGGCAGAGGCAGGTAGATCTCTGTGAGTACGAGGCCAGTCTGGTCTCTAGAGCGAGTGCCAGGATAGGCTCCAAAGCTACACAGAGAAACCCTGTCTCGAAAAGCCAAAAAAAAAAAAAAAAAAAAAAAAAAAAAAAAAAAAAAAAAAAGTCAAGCATGTGTTACCTGCAATACCCGTGAGCTGGGAAAGCAGAGGCAGGAGGATCCTAAGGGTTTGCTGACCATCCAGCCTACCCTAATTTGTGAGCCCAGGTCCCAGTGGGAGACCCTGTTTCAAAAAATAAGATGGATAGGTCCTGAGGAATGATACCCAGAATCAATATCTGGCCTCCATGCATGAACCTGCACACACACACACACATACACACACACACACACACACACACACACACGGGGGGGGGGGGGCGGCTGTATCCACAGGCATGCCTATTACCCCAACATTTGAGAAACTGAGCTACAGTGTGTGCGACCACCATGACCTACATTGTGAGTTCCAGGCTAGTTGGGCTTCAGTTTGAGACCCTATCACAATGAAACAACGCAGAGATCCACAGTCCAAGAAGAAAGCCACACTGGTCACAAGGCTGAGCCATGGGAAGTGTGCAGGTGGCTCCCAGTCACCAGCCAGGCCTAGTGAGACTAGAGGGTGCAGGTCCTTGGTAGGAGACTTCCTGCTTCCCTCCCCCATGCTCCCTGGGTCTCCGTACAAAGAGGCCACTCTGCCACAAGGGTCCTTTGTCACCCCTACCTTCCCAGGCCCCTCTCTTGTGGAGAGAGAGGCACAGGTCTTTGCCCATGACCAATGGGACACGTTTGGCTCACAGAGATACATGTAGCTGCAGAGGGGCACGAGCAGCCTGTTTCATAACTACTGTCCTGACAACCACCACAGAGTAGCTCTGAGGATTTCACATGAATGCTCAAGATGGGCTCCTCTTCGTCAAAGGACAAGTCCTCCCCAGGATCTTGATTGGTTTTTTCCGGTAGGAGAACCCCAGTATCTCCTGAGGAAGAGATACCTATGGTAACATGAGATAACATGGAGTTGGACTGTAATAAAAGGGCCATGGTCACAGAGTCCAAAGTCCACGAATCTTCTGCTTCAGTGGTGAGAGGGGCCTTCTTCCAGGAGTTAGGGAGGAGCTGGTGCTCAGAGACCTGGGCTCACATCAGAGCCCAACAGTGTCTTTTAGCAGATTTCACATAGACCTACACCTGTGTACAAATAGGTGTATACATGAACGTGTATGGATTGTGTGGCATGTGGATATAGATGTGTGACTGTGAGTGTGTTCATGCGTGCCCTTGTGTCTATGTGAGGCTATATTCATGTGTGCAAGTGTATCCTGTTGTGAATGCCTCAGACCCTGGTTAGGTTTCTGCCACTTAATGTTCCATGTTGCCATTTCCCTGGCTAATTCCTGGCTTGTCCCTGCTTTTTCTTTTGTTTTATATTTACTTTTAATATTTTTAAAGCAATCTTATTTGAGGCAGGTGGATCTCTGTGAGTTCGAGACCAGCCTGGTCTACATGAGCTGGTTCCAGGACAGCCTCCAAAGCCACAGAGAAACCCTGTCTGAAAAAACAAAAACAAAAACAAAAAAACAAAAAACAAACAAAAAACCCCACAAAAACCCAAAACAACAACAAAAAACCAAAAACAAGACCAACAAAAAACAAACAAACAAAAACCAATCTTATTTTACATACCAATCCCAGTTTCCTCTCCCTCTCTTCCTCCACCCCTGCTCCCCATCCACTCCTTAGGGTGAGGCCTCCTGTGGGGATCATCAAAGCCTGTCACATCATTTGGGGCAGGACCGAGGCCCTCCCCCCTGTGTCTAGGCTGAGCAAGGTATCCCTCCATAGGGGGGTAGGAGAACATGAGGGATCAGGAAGGTCGAGTTGGGGGAAGGACAGAGAGGGACAACAAGGAAAGAGACACCTTTGTGGGGTTAAGGAGAAACCTGGCACTAGGGACATTCCCAGGAATCCACAAGGATGACCCTGCTTTTGAACCACAGCTTGACAGTGTGCTCATCTGCTTCTGCAGGCTATGTGGAGGAGTGTGCCAAGAGCTCTTCCGTGGACTACTTCTGGTACCGAGAGACTCTGAATATCTCCACTTCCATCAGTGATTCGGGCTCCATCCAGTGGTGGATCCTGCTCTGCCTGACATGTGCCTGGAGTGTGCTGTACGTGTGTGTTATTCGTGGCATCGAGACCACTGGGAAGGTACAGTGCACGGCTGAACATGCAGCTTCCTGTCACCAATCTTGAGGGTCACTGTCTTTGGGCTTACACACAAGAGGCCTTAGTTGGGAGGCCTGTGGATTCTGTGCTGCCCAAGATGCCTTTCAAGCACACATTGTAAAACTTTGTGTAAGATCAATCCAGGCTCTCTCTTCAATTGAATCAGATGACAAGAGAAATTGGGAAATGGAAGGCCCATCTTCCCTGCACTGAGTTAGGGTGATCCTGGCAGAGGGAAGAATGTGGCATTCTGAATTAGACCCCTTTCCTTGTCTGAACTCTGACCTATCCACGTGGTGTCTCCCCTGCCCCACACTGTTCCCCACAGGCTGTGTACGTCACCTCCACTCTGCCCTACGTTGTGCTGACCATCTTTCTCATCCGTGGCTTGACTCTGAAGGGTGCCACCAATGGCATCGTCTTCCTCTTCACACCCAATGTGAGTCTCTGTCATCTATCAGCTGACTTCCCTGGGGCTTCAGATCCCAAAGAAGAAGTCCATGCTGGATTCTACTGGCTTCAAGACTAGCTTCTTTCTCTATGGTGACAGCCAATTGTCTGATGTCCAGGCCAGTGCCCTGGCTAAGAAGGGCCTGGCAAGGGGTCAACCTGTTCATGGGTCTTTAACATATGTGCCCTGGATGGGGACTGTTTGGTGGCTTGACTTTTTCCTCTGAATAGAATGGCATCCTTTTGGGGGAAGGAGTTAGCTTCTTTCTCAGTGGATGGGGAGGCCTAGTCCCTGTAGTCACAACTGAGTCCCTGTATAACAGATTACGGAGCTGAGCAACCCGAACACGTGGCTGGATGCAGGAGCTCAGGTGTTCTACTCCTTCTCCCTGGCCTTTGGGGGCCTCATCTCCTTCTCCAGCTACAACTCTGTGCAGTGAGTATGGAGTTTGGAGGGAGGGCCCCCAGGGATAGGGACTGTGGGGCCCCCAGGGACACCTTGGTTCTGGGGTCTCAGTTTCCTTATAAGATCATGAGGAATTCTGCTGTTTTCATGAGGAAGGTGTTTTCAAAAGCATAGTGCCCAGCAGCAGTGTTGGCCAGTGTGAATCAGCAGCTGCCCCCTGACCAGTCCTGTGTAAGAACAGGGCTGGCAGGAAAAGCAGGTACAGGCTTTGAGAGAATCTCCCCTTGCTGGGGAGTCCCTGGATGATCTCTGCTGCTTGGTCTAGTATCTTCCCTCCTCCACTCCCAACTTGATGCCTACATTGTTCCCAGCCTGCCTCAGAACTCCAGGCTTCAGGTATGTTGGTACTCCTCAAAGCCCACCCTAGACCCAGGTCATACCCTGAAGGTTGTGACCCTGCCAGGTTCAGACATGCTTCCCTTCTTGACACCTTCTGGAAAGGTCCTAATCTATGAAGAACACCCCAACATCCAGGGAGGATGCAGGTGATATTTACTTAGGCAGCACCAGCTTGTTGTCAAGAACTGCCCTCTGTGACCAGCGGTGGGTCAGGGAAAGCAGTGGATTCAGATGGTTTGAGTGGATAAGCCCAAGAGAGAACTGCGAAAGCTGGGCAGGAAGTGGGTGGTAGATCAGCTAGAACTTCAAGCCCATGGAGAGACTCAGGCAGCAGACAGAGATAGAGTAAGGCCTGGCAGTAAGGGTAGATCCATTCTGGGAGGTGTCGTCTGCAACAGGCATGACACTGGGGGAGTCTGTTCTTGGAGGGTATGGGCTGTGGTCCCCTTGGTCTGGGAGGGCAAGCCCTTCAGAGAATGTGTTGTAGTTGGGTGGCTGGGGAGGTGTTCCCTCTGGAACACGGCCTTTTAGTCAGTGATGGATGGGTCCCAGGCTGGTTTTTTGTTGTTGTTGTTTTTGTTTGTTTGTTTGTTTGTTTTTTGTTTGTTTTTTTTCTGAAGCAGCAGTAAGCTTTATAAGGAAAGGGAGAGCACATTTTTTGTTTGTTTGTTTTTTTTTTCTGAAGCAGCAGTAAGCTTTATAAGGAAAGGGAGAGCACATTTCCCCACATTGTATTCAGTCCAGTAGAGCCCAGGTTCTGGTGCTCTTGCTCACAGTCCTCAGTGGAGACTTCAGGCTTTGCCACTCCTCACATTCTCCAGGGATCTGGTTACCTCATCAACACTCAGGTTGTTCAGAGACACATTTTTCTCTTGACCGAAAGCATAGCAGGCCCAGAGCTTGGGATGCACCTCCGAACATTCGCAGATTAGAATGGAAGGCCGGGGTGCGCCTTCTTCAGCTCCACGTAACGTTGCTGGATGAAATCCCTTACACCCTGGCTGTCCGGCGAACGCTGGCATAATCTCATGATTATGTGAATCTCACGCAGCGCCAGCTTGGTACCCATCACTCGGCTAGCAGCGGCGGCCGCCATCTTAGCTAGCAAAGAGGCGCCCAACCACGACTCTTGGGTCCCAGGCTTTAGAAGGCCTTCTCTGGTGCCATGGAGAATGTTCTAGAAAGCAGCCCTGGAGGTGCCACTATGGGTGGAGCCCAAGTGGAGTGTGGGTGAATTATTTTTGCAACATCTTTATTCAATTTGTATTCTGTGCAGCTCACCCACTTTAAGCTATGTGAGTTCATCTACATGAGTCCAATGGCCTTAGTATATTCACACAGCTGTGCAGTCATTGCCCTTATCTAGTTCTAGGACATTTTCATGAATAGACACTCCTGAATTTCCAGATACACTGGTAGTATTTCCCTGTTTCTGCCTCTGCTTTCTCTGAGTATTTCCTGTGGGTAGAGCTGGTGGCATAGGGTCTTTGGCATCTGATTTCTCACTGACCTGAGGCTTCCCTGGTGTAGAGTGTGTTGGTACCATAGTCCTGTGGGGCTGGTTGACCACCTGCTGTGAGGACAGCTGAACTATGCTCACCCATCCACCTGCAGGGACTTTGGCTGCTTCTACTCCTATAACTGTGAATGGTGTTTGTGCTGAATGAGCTGTTGCTGTGTTTTGGTTTATACCTTGGGAGAGACCTGCCATCATGCCACTCCATGATCAGGACCAGGATGCTTTCCATTGCACTGCACCACTACAAGTTCCCTCTAGCTGTGCAGGGTGGCCCTAGTCTCCTTTTTTTTTTTTTTTTTTCTTTTGTGGTTATCTGTGTTTTGGGGGTATTCTTCCTTTCAGGTGGGTGGTGGTGTCTTGCTGCAGTTTGACATGGACTTTTCTGATGGCTTGTGTACTTTTGACACATCATGGGGCAGCCTGATGACAGGTGTGTTGGGGGTTGGGGTTGGAAGACTGGGGTTACGAAGATCAGGGTAAACCAGGGTGTGGTGGCACGCGCCTTTAATCCCAGCACTCGGCAGGCAGATCTCTGTGAGTCTGAGGCCAGCCTGGTCTACAGAGCCAGTTCCAGGACAGACTCCAAAGCTAAACAGGGGAATCCTGCCCCCCAAAAAAGACAAGGAAAGAAAGAAAGGAAGGAAGGAAGAAAACAAGAAAGAAAGAAGGAAAGAAAAGAAAGAAAGAAAGAAAGAAAGAAAGAAAGAAAGAAAGGAGAGCAGGATATGTTCAGGACATGCTTAGTGTTTCCAGATGGGACTCCAGAGGCTTCAATCAGGAATTCAGTGTGGGGTCTAACAGGGCTTAGGGTGAATAAGGGCAAAGCCTTGGGTCAGCCCCTGAGCTGTGGCCACGTCTTACATGCTCCTGAGAGTCAGCCCAGGGCTGCCTCAGTGTATAAACCTGGGACTCTCAGATGGTCAGAAACACATCTGGGACCTGACCCTACAACATTCCACCCCATGCTGTGGGTGAACATTCATCCTTCTGAGGCACACAGACACTGCAAGGCTAGATGGCCAGGATGGCTCTACCCTGCCCCAAGGGCCAGTCAGAATGGTCAAGTCCCATCTGGAAAATTCTAGGATCTCTCTCTCTCTCTCTCTCTCTCTCTCTCTTTTTTTTTCATTTTACTTTAGGCCGGTAGCCCACCCAGCCCTGGGTTCTTTTTTTTTTTTCATTTTACTTTAGGCCGGTAGCCCACCCAGCCCTGGGTTCTCCCATCCCTTGGGGCTATAGACTGAATTGCTTTTGTAAATACTAATTTGTACCTTATGTCTTAAATAAGTAAAACCCCATCTTTAGAGAGGCCTGGGTTGAGAGAGAGGTTTCAAGCAGTAGAGAACCTGACTTGACCTCCTTCTCTAGCCCATGGGGACCTCTGCACCTGGTAGCCTGTCCCTTCTGTGAGGCTGACTGCTTGCCTGAAACCTAAGTTGGGATCTGATTCTAGGAATCTCCAACTCTTCAGTATTCTGGGCTTTCAGAGGGTCTCCATAGCCATTTTCTGTGTGGGTGGGAAGAATGGAACATGGTAAAGAAGACACAGCTTGGATCAGGGTCAGGACACAGCCCTCTGGTCACTTTGAGTGACCACATGTGTCCAGATGACAGGACCTGGGCTTCCCTATGTCACATTAGCTTTTCCCTCACTTGGTGAGAACTCAGGAACCCAGTCTTAGACCTGGAAACCCTGGTTCTGCTCTGCTGCATGCTGCCACCCAGCCAGGGGATGTTATGTCCTCTTCTGTGAATCAGCTATGTTGTCCTGTGGTGACACCACTCTCATCCTCAGCAATAACTGTGAGATGGACTCTGTGATCGTGTCCATCATCAATGGCTTCACTTCTGTGTATGCAGCCACCGTGGTCTACTCCATCATTGGCTTCCGAGCCACCGAGCGCTTTGATGACTGTGTCAACACGTGAGTTGCCACCCTAGCACCTTGGGCATGCACAGAGACCCCTGCCTCATTGCCCAACCCTCACCAGTTCAGCCTTTGGGAAGCCCCCACCTAGGACACACAGTAGCCTTTTCATCTCTACCAGAAACATCCTGACTCTCATCAATGGCTTCGACCTGCCTGAGGGCAATGTGACTTCAGAGAACTTTGAGGCTGTCCAGCAGTGGTGCAACGCCACCAATCCTGAGGTCTATGCACAGCTCAAGTTCCAGACCTGTGACATGAACTCCTTCCTTTCTGAGGTAGGTGTGGCGATCTCCATCTATCAAAGCCTCATGTGTGGGTAAGGTCATTGTGAGTCACACACAGGGCCTTTGCACAGTTAGCATCTTAGCCCCAGAAGTGGCAGAAGTGAAAAATCAGGCAGGAGGAAGGAGCCACTGTTCACCAATTGTGAACCACCTGACACTGCCAGGACTTGACTCCTCCCTCCAGTCTCTGAATTCAATTATATAAAATACCCCCAACTCCTTCCCTCAACCCTCCCATGCTTCCCTTCACTCCTTCTCAGATTCATGGCTTCCATATATATATATATATATATATATATATA